CGCTTAGCGATGACGTTTGCCTTTTTAATTGATTCAGCGGCTCTGGTGCGGGCAGCTTGCAGAATTTCGGCGAATTGTTGTGCACGTGGTGTTGGGTTGTCCGGACTCGGCGTCATGGGCACTGTAGGGTTTTGAACATAGTTCAGGTAGAAGGGGGACTGCTGCGTCGTCGCTGACGTGGCATTGTTGTACGCGAACTCGATCAGCGGCAGCTGCTGCTCCCAAATGGTCGGGTCGTTGCACGTGGCACGAATCAACTGCTCCATTGTCTGATTCGTCCGTTCCGTTTGACCGTCGGTCTCGGGGTGGTACGACGAGCTGAACTGTAGCCGTGTCCTGAATTGCTCCCAGAGGTTCTTCCAGAAGTTGCTGGTGAACTTCGTGTCCCTGTCGCCGATAATCGCTGCTGGTATCCTGTGCAGGCGAACAACAGTTACGATGAACAGGCGAGCGGTCTCCTCGGCTGAGATCGACTTTTTGCACGCAGCCAAGTGTGCCATCTTCGTTAACCTGTCAATGAAGACCATCACCGCGTCATCACCCCCCGGGTTCGAAGGTAACCCTGTGACGAAGTCCATGGTAACATGCTGCCAGGCGCACTCGGGCGGTGGTATCGGCTGCAGTTGACCCGCCTTTCGCTTCCTCGAGCTCTTCATCACCTGACACGTGGGACACAAGCCCACGTGCTGCTGCACGTCGGTCGACAGCTCTGGCCAGTAGTAATACCGCTGCAGTTGCTATCGCGTTTTTTCTACCCCAAAATGTCCCGAGGTAATTCCATCATGTGCCTCCTGCAGTAAGAGCTCCCTCAGTAGTGAGTACGCGGGTACCCAAATGTGGTTGGTGCCTGTTTTTACGTAATAAGCTCCCTTAGCTTCTGCCAGTAGCTGTGAATTTCCGGTCGTGAAAAATGGGGCGGTGCAGTATGCGTGGGCGAATAGGCCTGTTAAAAGCGGGTTGGTTTGGGCGAGTAGGATGGCATGGAGTTGGGCGGTAGGGCGGGTGAGTGCGTCGGCGATGTTGGATGCGCCTTCTTCGTACGTAACCGTGTAGTGGAAGTTGGACTCGATGTAGTCCAACCAGCAAATCTGTCGCGGATTGAGTTTTGGTTGGGCACACAAGTACTGCAGTGATCGGTGGTCTGTCCGTACTATCACGTCGGCGCCAGTCAGGTAACACCGCCAAACCTTGAACGCGTGCAGGATCGCCAACATCTCGCGGTCGTGTATCGGATAGTTCTGTTCGGGCGGGTGCAGCTTGTTGGACTCGTACGCGATTGGCTAGAGGCCGTTCCCAAAATCCTGCAACAATACTGCTCCCACAGCGATGTCACTTGCGTCGGTGCGGAGCTCGAACGGACGGTGCGGATCTGCGATCTGAAGCACGGGCGGTGAGCACAAAATGTTTTTGACGGCCGAGAAGGCAGCTTGCTCTTTCTTCCCCCACGTGTACTCAACCCCCTTCCTCAGCAGGTCAGTCAGCGGGGCAGTCAGCTTTGCCATGTCGGGGACGAACCGGCACACGTAGTTGATGAACCAAATCAACTCAGCAACTCGGTCAAGTTGGTCGGCGCGTGCCAGGCTTGAATCACGGCAATTTTTTTCGGGTCTGTTTCCACTCCTGCGGCTGAAATAACGTGCCCCAAAAACTCCAGTCGGTCCTGTAAATACTCACACTTAAACGCTTTTATCAGTAGGCGGTTCTCACTTAGTATTTTAAAAACTGCTTCGATGTCTCGTTCGTGCTGTGCTCTCTGTCAGGGCTATAAATCAGTATGACGTCCAGGTATACGATGACACACTTATCTAAAAGCGGGCAGAAAGCTTCGTTCATGGTCATTTGAAAAGTGGCGGGGGCGTTTCTCAGAATCTTAAGTAAAGGTAGGCTTAGAAGCCATAGTTTAGGTGCCTAGGTGATCGAGCTCGAGAGAGTTAGGAAAGTATCGAGAGATTTTTGAAAGAGAAGGGGTTTCACTAGCAAGAGTTGGGATACAAGTACAATGCCCTAAATTGGGTTGTACTCATTACAGAGTACCCCACTGCAGGCTAGACAGCAAATATATTCTGACAGCGTTGGTCAGTCCGAAGGGCATGACAGTGTATTCGAAGGATCCGTAGCGTGTGCGAAATGCGGTCTTAGGGCAGTCGGGCGGATTGACGCGAATCTGGTGGTAACCCCCTCGGAGGTCGATTTTCGAGAAAACCCGGGCTATGCGCAGTTGGTCGATCAGATCGACGGCTCGTGGGATGGGGTAACGGGATTTGATGGTAACCTTGTTCAATGCTCTGTAATCTATGCACATGCAAAATCCCCCGTCTTTTTTCGGTGTGAACAGTATCGGTGCTGCGAAGGGTGACGAACTAGGGCGAATGAACTCCTTCTCGAGCAGGTAATCCAGCTGCTTCCTCAGTTTGTCCATTTCGGGTTGGGTCAGTCGGAACTGTTGCTGTACTATTGGCTGTGCCCCCGGTTCTAGCTCTATTCTGTGGTCGTGCAGTCGCTGAGGTGGCAGTCCCGTTGGAAGGTCATCCGGAAATATTCCCCTGTACTGCTTTGGGAGTGCTGCCAAGTCATCCGGTACGCCGGCAAGCAGTTTCTGTAAATCCCCTCCCTGGTCTGCTGCTTCGGCTTCCCGAATGTCAACCGCATACACGTCAGCTCATGCCGTTACGGTGCGCTTCATTGTGATCGCGTTGACACGCACCGACGAAGACTTAGGCGAGCCCCAGCGAGGTAAGGTGATGTTGTTACCGTTCACTCGTACGGTACAGTCACCCGTCGTCCAGTCGATTCACGGATTGTGTCGTCGCAGCCAATCCCGACCGAGTAAATTGTCAGTTCCGTCGAGAGTCGCGCGAGCATTTCTTGGCTGAACGTGAAGTTACCCCCGCATCGAATCCAAACCCGGTCTACGCGTTTCCGTATTGCCAGTGGCGTGTCGTCGACCAGTCTTGCATCAATCTCAGGTAAGCATTTGTCCAGTGGCAGTTTTAGCTTCCGTGCCGTGGCAGTGTTGATGAGGCTGTGGGTGGCTCCCCCGTCTACGAAGATTTTAACTAAGTCCGTCCCAATTTTCCCACTAAGTAGTATGGGGTTGTCTACCGTAGTACCCTCCTTATTCGGCCAGGTGTGGTCGATTGCTTGAACCGGCACAATCACTCGGTGAGGGTCGGTTGGGTCGGGCGAGCGGCGAGACCTATCAGTAGAGGGCCCGTTTGCTATTGACTTCCAGCGTTTCCCTGCTGCTTGGTCTGTTTCTGCTGCTCAGCTTCCCCCTTTCCCTTAGCGTTTTCCGAGCATTCGTTCTTGCGATGTCTCGGCCGATTGCATGCAAAGCAGCCCCCTTTGAACAGTGCAGCAGCGGCATTTGAGGCGACGGCACGTATCGTAGCGCTCTCGTTTGTCCCACGAGACCGATGTCCCCAATGGTTGCTTCCGTAGGACCCCGGTCTCGGTCGGCGGAAGAAGTCGAGTTTCTCTGCCATAGCGAGAATTTCTTGAAAGTCGATGACGCCGCAAAGCTGGATTTCCTGAGCGATGTTATGCTTCAGGCCGCTGATGTAGCGGTCGATGCACTCGCTCTCGTGCATATATCCCACCTGCTTGCATAACGCCAGAAATCCGCTCGTGTAGTCTTGGACGAAACCAAGTTGGCGCCAAGTGCGGAGCTTCAGTCGCGACGCGATCGAAGCCGTGATTGGCTCGAAACGAGCTTGCAGACCTGCGCACCACGCGTCCCACATGCGATATTGGGGCACCTCCACAAAATACGACGGCCCCCAGAGTCCGGCTTGTCCTTCCCGTGTCAGTAGAGTCGCGTAGTCCATCGGCTTCGTGACGATGACGCGCCACCAATCTATGGCGGGTCCTCGCAACAGCTGTCAAACTTATATGCTACAGTCTGTGTAGGCTGTAGTGGGGTAGACTGTATGGGGTACAACATTTCTAGGTTTTCCTACTTGTACCCACCTGCCTGCTAGTTCATTCATTCATCGTTTCTTATCATGGTATAGAGCAGGTTCCCTAGTGGGAACGCTTCCTAGGGCCCACCACGATAATTTTTTTTTCCTGCCCGGAGCGCGCTTCGCTCCTGCCCGAGTCGCGCCCTGTGTGCCCTCCCTACCGTTGCGCCCTCTCACGGCCCCTTCGCGCCGCCCTTAGCGGCCCCTCTCACGGCCCCTTGCGCCGCCCTTACGGCCCCTTGCGCCACCCTTTACAGCCCCTCGCGCTGCCCTTACGGCCCCTTACGGCCTCTCGCGCCGCCCGTCGACCCCTCGCGCTGCCCTTACGGCCCCTTACGGCCCCTCGCGCCGCCCATCGGCCCCTTGCGCCGCCCTTAGCGGCCCCTTACGGCCTCTCGCGACGCCCTTACGGCCCCTCGCGCGGCCCCTTCCGGCCCCTCGCGGCGCCCTTACGGCCCCGCCGCCGCCCCCTCTAGGCCCCTTACGGCCCCTTCGCGGCCTCGTCGCCTCCCCCCTCAAGGCCTCTTGCGGCCCCTCTACGGCCCCGTCGCCACCACTTGCGGCCCCGTCGCCGCCACCAGCGGCCCCGTCGCCCTCCCCACGAGGCCCCATCGCCGCCCTTCGAGACCGCCTCGCCGCCCTTAGTGGCCCCGTCGCCTCCCCCAGCGGCCCCATCGCCGCCTCTACCGGCCCCGTCGCCGCCTCTACCGGCCCCGTCACCGCTCAGCCGCCCAGCGACCGAGCCACCGAGCCGCCCAGCAGCCGAGCCGCCCAACAGCCGAGCCGCCGAGCCGCCCAGCTGCCAAGCCGCCCAGCAACCGAGCCGCCCAGCAGCCGAGTCGCAGAGCCGCCGAGCCGCCCAGCAGCCGAGCCGCCCAGCAGCTGAGCCGCCGAGCCGCCCCGCAGCCGAGCCGCCCAGCAGCCAAGCCGCCGAGTCGCCGAGCCGCCCTTCTGTCGAGCCGCTGCTGTTCCTACCGGCGCGCCCCGGCCCTACTTCCTCGGACTAGTGAGATCACTCCCTGCTAGGCCACTGCAGACATGGCTACCCCCAGTGTCCTTACCTTTGATGGTGAGGGCCGTGCTGTTGACTTTGAGGTCTGGGTCGATAACCTCCAGCTGTTCCTACAGTGCGATAGGGCAGACGGCCTCTCTCTATTTGATCTCACCTCTGGTGTCTCTCCTGCCCCGCCTGCTACTGCTGACAGCTCTGTTCGCTCACAGTGGGCCACACGCGATGCTGCTGCTCGCCTTGCTGTACGTCGCCACTTACCGACCACTGAGCGTGCGCACTTTAGCCAGTACAAGAGTGCTAAGATCTTGTACAACGCTGTAGTTGCATGCTACTCCTCCCCTGCCACTGCTGCGCTTAGCCGCCTCATGCTGCCGTTCCTGTTCCCTGACCTTGCTGCCTTTCCCAAAATCGCTGACCTCATTACGCACCTTTGCACTAGTGACATTCGCTACCGCGCAGCACTTCCTGCTGAGTTCTATGCCAAGAACCCCCCCCCATGTATATCACCCTCTATTACTTAGTCACCCACCTCCCTAACTCCCTTCGCTTAGTCAAGGACCACTTCCTCTCAGTTTGCCCCACCACTCTCACCGTTGACCTCCTCGAGGAGCGCCTCCTAGCAGCAGAGAAGAGCATAGTCGCTGTAGGAGCCTCTCGTGGCGACCCTCGCACCCCCGTCATCGAGGGGTGTTCCCCCTCCCCCCTCTTGCCCTCTTTTGCTTCTACTGCTGCGGCCGACCTCGCTGGTTTTGAGTCGGTCGGCGCTGCGTCTGCCCATAGCGGGAGACGCCGCACTGGCAAGGGCAAGGGGGGCAAGGGCGCTGGAGGGGCTGGCGGGGGCGCTGGAGGTGGTGGTGGAGGTAGTGGAGGGGGTGGGGGTGGTGGTGGGAGTGGTGGCAGGGGTGGAGGTGTTGGTGCCAGCAGTGGAGGCGGCGGAGGCGGCGGCGGTGGCGGAGGGAGCGGAGGCGGCGGAGGTGGTGGAGGCGGCGGAGGTGGCGGAGGCGGCGGAGGTGGCAGAGGCGGCGGCAGTAGCGATGGAGTTGGTCGCGGCTCTGCACAGAGGAGTGGCTCATGTGGTGGTCCGTGCGCGCAGCAGCAGCGCAGTCGTGAGACCCTATCCCCTCAGCAGCTTCGTGAGTGGTACGCTGCGCGTCAGCGCCGTGGGGGTACTGGTCCGTGGAAGTACGTTCTCCGTACCGTCAACCGCGCTGGTGTGTAGTGCGGAGGATGCTATCTTTGATCTTGATTTTGATGCTATTCTTGCTGCCATGTATGTTGTGTCTGATAGTGTTAAGGGTGACTGTTACCTGTGTGTTCCGCCTGATCCGGGCATTGAGACTGCTGCTCTAGGTACTGGTGAGGCTGCTGCTCTAGGTGCTAGTGTGTCTGCTGCCCCAAGTGCTGGTGAGTCTGCTCTCTCAGGTACTACGTTGGCTCAGACCTTACACACCTTCACCCTTGACTCGGGTGCTTCCCGCTCCTTCTTTCGAGACCGCACCACGCTTACGCCGCTTAGTCGGCCGGTTGCGGTCTCCCTGGCGGACCCCTCCGGGGGTCTTGTCCTTTCTCGCTTCTGCACTATCTTACCGTGTACGAGAGCCCCCTCTGGCACCCTATGAGGTCTCTACCTCCCCTTGTTCTCTATGAACTTGGTGAGTGGAGCTGATCTACAGGAAAGGGGGGTTGACCCGTTCACTCCTCCGAGTCAGCGGGTGACCCACTACACGTGTGCTCGGACGGGCCGACACTTGACCACGCTCACCCGACGGCCAGGGTCGAGCCTATACACATTTACTACTGAGTCTCCTCCTGTTGCTGAGTTTGGTCAGGTAGTTGCGTCGAGTCAGGAGTTTGTTGCAGCGTCCAGGTCTGGTCCTGAGTCTGCTCTCTGCTCGTGTCGTCTCCAGTCTCACCAGACTCTCCTTTGGCACCACCGCCTTGGTCACCCCTTTCTGCCTCGTCTCCAAGGCATGGCCTCTTGTGTCCTTCTCTCTGGTCTCCCTCGGTCTCTCCCTCCCGTACCTCCGGGGCCTGCCCCTACCTGCGTCCCTTGCGTCAAGGGGCGACAGCGCGCCGCCCCTCACTCCTCCGAGTTTCCTCTGATAGAGGCTCCGCTGCAGACTCTTCACATGGACATGTGGGGCCCTGCCCGCGTCCGTGGCTAGGGGCACGAGCGCTACTTCCTGTTGGTTGTTGACGAATACTCGCGTTAATCCACGGTCTTCCCCTTGCGCAGCAAGGGCAACGTCAGTGAGGTGTTGATCGCCTGGATTCGCGCAGCTCGTCTCCAGCTCAGAGAGAGTTTGGGCTCGGACTTTCCTGTTATGCGTATGCACTCTAAGAGAGGCGGGGAGTTTTCCTCTCCTCGTCTGGGAGCCTTCTGTCAAGCACAGGGCATCCGCCCGACCTTCACGCTTCCGGCCTCTCCTCAGCAAAATGGGATTGCTGAGCGCCGCATTGGCATGGTCATGTACGTCGCTCGTACGTCCATGATCCATGCGCCTGCCCCACATTTTCTATGGCCGTTTGCGGTTCAGTACGCAGCGCATCAGCTCAACCTTCAGTCCTGGGTCTCCTTGCCATAGACCTCCCCCACCGTGTGGTGGACGGGGAAGGTTGGCGATGCGTCTGCGTTTCGGGTCTAGGGATCTCAGGGGTTTGTCCGCGACTTGTCTGCGGACAAGCTGTCCCCCCGTGCTGATCCCTGCGTCTTCCTTGGCTTCCCCCCTGACGCGCCTCGTTGGAAGTTTTACCACCCCACCTCGCGCCGTTTTCTGTCCTCCCAGGACGTCACCTTTGACGAATCGGTGCCTTACTACCGTCTCTTCGCCTACCGCACTGCGCCCCTTCCCCCGCCACCGCTCTTCCTTGTGCCATGTCCTCCATCGTTAGACCCCCTCCCCCCTCAGGGTCCTGCCCCGTCAGGTGTGTCCCAGGTAGACGCAGTCGAGCCTGTCAAGGTAGCTGTTGACTATGGTGCTGCTAGAGGTGCTGAGCCTGCAGGTGCAGGGTCTGGAGGCGCGGAGCCTGGGGGTGATGAGTCTAGGGGTGTGGAGACTGGGGGTGGTGAGCCTGGGGGTGCTGAGTTAGGGGGTGCTGAGCCTGGGGGTGCTGAGTCTGGGGGTACTGAGCTTGGGGGTGCTGAGCCTGGGGGTGCGGAGCCTGGGGGTGCTGGGTCTGCTCGTGTGGCCCCTCGCGGTGCTTCGTCGAGACGGGAGCCACTCTCTCCGCAGGAGCTGCGCGAGGGGTTTGCCCGCCGCTGGAGCCGTGCTGCTTGAGATGGTTGTACTACTATTGCTGCTGGTCCTGGAGGTGCTCGTATTGGTGGTACAAGAGCTGCTGGGACTGGGGATGCTGCTGGGGCTGCTGGAGTTAGTCCTGTTAGAGGTACTGTTGGAGCTGCTGGCGGTACTGGAGCTGACGGTCCTGCTGGAGTTGGTGCTACTGGAGCTGGAGCTAGAGCTGCTGGGGGTGTTGGCGCTGGTGGTACTACTGACGCTGGTGCTTCTAAGGGTGCAAGAGTTGGCGCTGTTGAAGCTGGAGGTGCTGCTGAGGCTGGTACTGCCGCTAGGGGTACTGGTGCTGTCCCTGCTCGTTCCGGAGGCGCTGCGCGGCCACGGCCGTACTTCGTTCCCCTCCTTGCGCAGGTTCTTGGTCTCCCGCCCTCTACTGGTTCTGCTCCTCCCTTAGAGTGTCCACAGCCTTTTGAGTTGCAGTCACAGTTACAGCCCGCCTCCCCCCTACCTGCTCCTTCTCCCTACACTGGTCCTACTGGAGGTCTTGCTGAGCGTCGTGATTCTGCGTCTCGTCCTGCGTTGTCTGTTCGTGCTGCTCGCACCAATCGTCGTGCTTCGCGTTCGCGTCCTCCTGCGGTCTCAGGCACACACCACATGGCACTGCGTCCTTCCACAGCTCCTCTGCGTGTCCCGTTGCCGTCTCCTCCAGAGTCCTCTCTTCCTGTCCTTGCTGACCCGGATTCTGACTCTCTTCGTGCTGCCAGTCCTACTGACACGCGTCTCCTGGCTACTGTTGTCACAAACCCTTCCTTTGAGTCCACTGCTACGTCTGCCCTAGTTGTTGAGCTTGTCGACTTTGCTGCTCGCTGTCGTCTAGACTACGCTGCTAGTCTTGTTGCTAGGTCTGAGTCTGTCTGTCCTCTGTCCGTTGGGTGTGAGTGTGCTCTTAGCACTGACGTCCTTGAGGACAGGCAGGTGGAGTTCCAGTGTTTTGCTGCTACTTTGCCTCATCTCGTGTCCACGCTGATTGTCCCTGAGGGAGACCCGGATGCACCAGACATCCCGACTCCTCGATCGTACGCTGAAGCGATCCAGGGTCCCTACTCTTCTCAGTGGCAGTCAGCCATGGACGCAGAGATGGCTTCCTAGAAGTCCACAGGCACCTACGTCGACGAGGTTCCCCCACCTGGGGCGAACATCGTCAGTGGCATGTGGATTTTCAGGGTGAAGCGGCCGCCGGGTTCTCCGCCTGTCTTCAAGGCGCGTTATGTGGCTCAAGGCTTCAATCAGCGGCAGGGAGTTGAATACTTTCAGACCTTCTCTCCCACCCCGAAGATGACCACTCTTCGGGTGCTGCTGCACATAGCCGCTCCGCCTGTCTTCGTGGCTGCCGAACTTGGCCGTGAGCGGGAAAGTGTAGGCTCCAGGGCTGTCGATTCGTTTTGGGGCCCCCGGGCAAATCAGGGGGCCTGCCACGTGCGATCTAGTATCTAGCAGGGTTGGGGCGAGTCTTGGCCCTTTAGGCGTCAGGGCTGGAATTTTTTCCACCCTTTGAATCAGGTTTGGCGCGTCATATTTTGCTGCTTCATTTTAACTACAATGACTACAACTACAAACTAATACAAGCAAACACTACAAAAAAAAATGCTTGGCGCCGTTTCTCTATGCACGCTTAGAAGGCTTCCTAGCCTTGGCAGTAGTGAAGATCTTGTGCACTTCTACCCACTCCACAGGGTAGTGAAGCATCTTCACAATCATCTGCTGATCTAGCTTAACATCACTAAGAGCAGTCATGTCCCATGATTTTATTATGTTCTGCCTACTGAAGCCCCTTTCGCACTCAACAGTGCTAAGGGGCAGGACAGCAAGTGCACGCCACAAGTGCACGAGGGTGGGGTAATCATCCCTCCAGTCTGAGGTGCGTAGCACGTTGGTGAGGGCTTGCTGGAAAGTCAGATCCTTGAACTTTTTGAACATTGTGGCAGCAAAGAGCTCCATCTCCAGCTGACACTCCTGGTACGTGACACCTGCGGGTGGTGGGGTGGGCGTAGGAGAAGAATAACTTAAGCATGGAAGCACCTATGATAATAACACTGCTGGGAATATAAAATGTATTGGATCATGGGCATTCTTACGTACCGGGCAGCTTCTCCTTGAACATGTCAAGGAGTTCGTAGAGGTGGACGTTGAGCCATCCTTCACGGTCAGCAGGGCGCGGCGGGTAGTGCATTGGCATGAAGAGTTTTGCCCCGTCAAAATGCTTCAGGTCCCCAAGGCGGTAGTCCAGCTTTGCGATCAACTCCTGCGCAAACTCCTGCCCCAGCTTGATGCACGAATCCAGGTCCGTCTTCTTGTCTTTGCCGATGGGGTTTTCATGCAGTATGTCTTTGATGGTGCATGCGGTCCCTTGCTTGTCGAGGTTGTGGATGGTGATCTCGCGCTTGTCAGGGTTGCCGTGCTTCTCGAGAAAAGCATGCAGGTGCTTGCTCTTCGGGGTCCCATAGTCTGCGCGGTTCTCCACGTAACGTTGCGCCAGCTTCAGCTTCAGTTTATCGACGAGGAGCTTCACCTCGCCGATGTCCACCTGCTCATTAGCAGGGGCAGGGCAGAGGGGCAGGGCAGAGGGGCAGGGAAGAGGGGCAGGGCAAAGGGGCAGGGCACAGGGGCAGGGCATAGGGGCAGGGCAGAGGGGCAGGGCAAAGGAGCAGGGCAGAGGGGCAGGGCAGAGGGGCAGGGCAGAGGGGCAAGGCAAAGGAGCAGGGCAGAGGGGCAGGGCGGAGGGGTAGGGCAGAGGGGCACGGCACAGGGGCAGGGCAAAGGGGCAGGGCACAGGGGCAGGGCACAGGGGCAGGGCACAGGGGCAGGGCAGAGGGGCAGGACACAAGAGCAGGGCAGAGGGGCAGGGCAGTTAATAAAGAGCGCTTGTATCAGCAAAGGCCATGACATGATGCAAACTTACCACCAGCCTCTGAAACGCCATGTT